TACTACTGACTAACATGCTGTATTGCAGTTCCTCAAATTTACCCACTTTTTCGTATTCCCCAGGGGTGCGGCATAGCAGGAGATTGACTGTACATGAACTGTAGAAGCAGAATCATTGGTTTACGTTACTCATAAGTAGTCACACCATAAAGAGGAAAATCATTTCAGATAGGGTGTACTCTCAATCTACTTTTCGATAAAAGTAACGGGTGATTTGATTCAATTATATGGTGAATTTCATCATGTAAAGAACAACTGAAGTATGAACTGAAAAGTTTTTTCAATGGGGTTGGGTCTCATCAACAGTGGGAATCCATGGGTTCAACTGGGAATCGAATCCTGGAACTCATATTTATTACACAAGCTGCTTTTATTATCCGTGTACGTGGCATACTAAAATAATTACTCAGAAAAAATATGATTCAAGCAGATTAGATCATTCATCACAGGTTAAGTCATTCATGAATGTTCCAATCAGCAGGAGACTAATTAAATTAATCATATCGGACTGAAATCACCTAGTGTAAGAAAAAACGTATTCAGTCGACAATTATCGGTGAGTGGTTTTACTAAGGTAAGCAAGTTAACTTACCATATGGACAATCATATATGAGGGCCACAAACCAACAACCAGGTAAATTAGCATTTCGAGCCACTTACAACTGAAACAAAAAGACAGAATGAATCGATAGTTTTGAAAAAAACAGCAACATTTTGCCGATAGCATATAAAGAACACGAATGTGACAGATGTTGACGAGGAACAGCAAACACGCCTCAGTTCACATTCTTCTGGTGATGATAAAAGTACAATGGAATTCAAATACATCGAGAACAGGCATGCAATAAACTGACAGGGTTGTGGATCGATTTTATTGGTATGAAGATACTTTTGCAACTTCGTGTTTATCGATTCCGATAATCCCGCGAATGGCAGTTCACTTTAGTAATAGTAGAAAACTTGACTGCGATAAACTGAAGTCCAAAAAACCGCTTCAAATTGATTAGCTATAAGCAATTCAATGAAACCACTTTGGTTTCGATTTCATTTTGCAAGAATTGACAGGGTGCGCAACCCACACGGTAGCAGATTCATCGAAATCCCGGGGACTGAGTAGAGTCGAGGCGTCTCTGCTGACAGGAGCCATTTACAAGTGACGAGCAAGTCCGAGCATCCACACAGACAGCATCCAGACTGGCATGTGAACTAGTTCAGTACATACAATTCCTAAGATTCCATGTTCTGGTACTAATTCCATTTGCAGAACACTGGGCTCCTTATACAATCATTGACATTCAATAGTGGGTATTAAGGACAGATTTATCAGACCGGTCAATCTTTTAGCCACAAATATTCTAGTTCTCGTTACAGTGATGGAGATCTTGTCCCTTCGGTA